ACACTAGGTAAGCCACCAGAACCCTACAGCCTCCAACTGTCAGTATCAGAGCCCCAGCACACAAAGCCAGTGACCAGGCCCCATGCTCCCAATACAAGAAGCTTGGGTCAGGGCCCCTTCTCCCCAGCAGGAGAGGTCAATCTTTTTAAAGGCCAGGAAATAAGCAAACACCATGAGCAAAAAGAAATGTACTATAGATTCTTATTATGGGAACAGTGAAGATCAAGGTGGAAACTCTGAAGAGGACAATATTGTCACAAACCCACACCTGGAACCTCAAAAGACAATGTGAACTGATCTGAAGCCCAAAAAGCTTTCTTGGAAGCGCTCAAGAAGGTCAAATAAGACAGGTAGAAGAAAAATTGGGAGAAGAGATGAGAGGTATGCAAGAGAGAGTCAATAGCTTGGAAAAGGAAGGACAAAAATTAACTGAAGAAAACAACTCGTTAAAAAGCAGAATTGGCCAAACAGAAAAGGAGACACAAAAACTCACTGAGGAGAAGAATTTCTTTAAAAAAAATTGGCAAAATGGGAAAAGGAGGTACAAAATCTAATAGAAGAAAACAATTTTTAAAAAATTAGAATTGGGCAAAAAAAATATAGTGACTATTAAAGATGTTGCAGCAGCTATTAGTGTGAAGAAGTCAAGCTTTTGAAGAACAATTAAAATCCACAATAAAATAAGATCATTAATGTGTAGGCAAGGATGTTCTGGTAAATGTTTGATAACAGTCTTTTTAAAAATAAAAAGAGGTGCATGACACACTTCTAAGTTTTGTCTTCATTCTTAAATTTTTCCATCACTTTCTAATGTCTAGACAATCAACAAAACCGTACATCAAGCCTGACATGTAGTATTTAGTGATTTCCCAGATATAAATGCTCACAATGAAAATTCAACAATCCACTCTCATGAGCTAGTATGAGCTAGCTCCAGCACATCTTTAAGTTGAAAAGAAACACAACCCCAAAAACTGACAAGCTATTTCCATGAAACAACTTAATTTTCAGAAAATGAATGAAGATCTTCAGACGTATCTGGCAGCTAGAGAGGTTGCTATTGATTCCTCTACTGTTTAGTTTCGACTTTTTGATGGAAGGATAGCTAAATGGCACAGTGGATAGAGTAAAAAGCTTGATGTCAGGAAGTCCTGATTTCAAATTCTCTCCCAGAAATTCATTAGCTGTGTGACTCTGAACAAGTTACTTTACCTCTCAGCCTCAATTTTCTCACTTGTAAAATGGGGATAATAATAATAGATATCACAGGGTTTCTGGGAAGATCAAATAAAGTAATATAGGTAAAATGCTTTGCAAACCTTTAAGTCTATATACATATCATCTATTATTAATATAAGAATGGACAAGTCATTAAAAACTAGCTGCTAGTTCTACAAAGACTAGAGTACCAAAGTTTGGAATAAATAACTTTCTTTTTTCTGATGAAACATTTTATTGTATATGTCAATAAGTTTAATTAGTTTATGATTTTCCAAGTACTTTATACATGACACTACACTCACATACAATCTATTTTGAGAATGAAGGATTATAATACTTTCTTCCCAAATATGGGAGCTTTTGTATAACCTTGATTATTTTAGCCTCTTGGAATTCTCCACCTCTATAACATTTTCTTGATCTGTGGCTGCCAGAACTGAACATTATATTGAAGTGTGGAAAAAGTATGGCTGTGTACAAAGGTAGGGTGTTTTCTGTTTTGTTTCCAATAATTTTCTAGATAATGCTTATTATTTTGTTATTGTTGGTGTAAACAAAAGCAAAGTCTTCAAGGGAATCATATTATCAACATAGTACAAAAGAGCTGGGTGTACTGATATACTCTTGAGCAAACAATGAGACTGCCACCCAACCCAAGGAAGGTGAAGAGCTAATGGTGGGCAGTTCTGGTCTATCTATGCCTATGCTAACTAATAACTTATAGTTTATTATCTTATATATTTTACAGCTAGGTAGCACAGAGGATAGAACATGAAACTCAGAGTCAGGAAGCCCTGAGTTCAAATCCTACCTTAAACATTTACTAATTCTGTAACCTTAGACAGTCATTTACCTTTTCTGCCTCAGTTTCCTCACCTATAAAATGTGGATAATAATAACGTCTACTTTCCTGGAGCCATTGTGAGGATAAAATGAGATGATATATGTCGAGTGCTTTATAAATATTAGCTATTATTATCTTTGACATTTGATATATAACATGCACTAGTTCTCTAAAACCTCCACCAAGCTTAGTTATTCCCTTAGTATTCACCTTCCAAATATCAGGTTACCATTTTTCAATAATTTTTTTGCTTGTGTTTGGTGACCTTATTATCTTTTATTACATATCCTACCAGATTGCTCAGCATGAAAGTGACCAAAGAAGAAATAGAATCACAGAAGGTAAAATAGCCAATTTTAGTTAATAAAATTAATTTTTACACAAACAAAACTAATACAGCTAAAGTTAGAAAAGAAACAGGTAAATGGGGAAAATATTTCCAGCAAGTTTCTCTGGTAAAAGTCTCACTTCTAAGATAATTGGAAACATTTAAATTTTACAGAACAAGAGACATTCACTGATTGATAAATGGTCAAAAGATATTAACAGGCAGCTTTCAGAAGAAGAAATCCAAACTACCAATAGTGATATAAAGTGCTCTAAATCACTAATAAAAAGAGTAAGGCAAATTATAATAACTCAGGATCCACTTTACATGGCTCTGACATATAATTTCATACTTGCTTTAATTTGTTTAAAATAAAATGGTACCTTTTATGTGTAAATCATGTATCCTTTTCAAGCTCATCTTGGTATATACCATAAATTTATGATCTATATGTAATTTCTGCCAGACTTCTTTCCAGTTTTCCCAACAGTTTTTGTCAGATAATGAGTTCTTATACTACTACCCATGAAATTTAGGGTTATCAACACTAGGCTACTGTGCTCATTTGATTGTATATTGTTGCCTAATGTGTAACATTGATCATTCTTTCTTATTTCTTACCTAGCACCAAATATTTTGATGATAGCTGCTTTGTAGTATAGTTTAACCTTTGATATTATTAGAGCCCCTTCCTTCCCACTTTAAAAAAAATAAATAATTTTGATGCCCTTAATCTTTTATTCTCCCAGATCAATTTTATTATTTTTTTCTAACCCTATAATATAATTCTTTGGTAGCTTGATAGATATGGTACTAAATAAATAAATTAATTTGAGTAGTATTGTCATTTTTATCATTTTGGCTCAGCCTACCCATAAGCAATTATTTTTTCTTCTTACTTGTGTAAATTATTTGTATAAAGAATATTTTGTCGTTGTGTTCATATAGTTCCTGTGTGTGTGTGTGTGTGTGTGTGTGTCTTAACAGGTATATTTTCAAATATTTTGTACTTCCTATACTAATTTTAAGTAGAATTTCTTTTCCTATCTCTTCCTGACAGATTTTGTTGGTAATATATAGAAATACTGATGATTTATGTGAGTTTATTTTATATCCTGTAGTTAATTGGTTCAATTAGTTTTTAGTTGATTCTCTGGGGTTTTCTAAGTAAAACATGTAAAATGTGTGTGTGTGTGTGTGTGTGTCTGTGTGTGTGTATTTATTTATTTATTTCCTCATTGCTTAAGCTAAGCAAAAATGTATTAAGGATCATCACAATTTAAGGGAGGAAGAGTCTGAGAAAATGCTGTAATGAGCTTGGGGCTAGTCCTGGCACCAGGGTAGGAATGTGAACTAAGAGAAATCTGCCTTAACTATCCCAGTCTGTATTTCCCCAGTCCAAGGATAGTGCTTCCTTGAGCAAGAGTCCTTTTTCTCTTTCAAACCTAGCACCTAGGAGAGTACATAAAATCCATTCATACTCAAATGAAAATGATAGGAAATCTTAAACCAAAGGAAAGCAATTCCAATATTAGAATTTAAGACAAATTTCAGACAAAAGTGCTTTGAGGAATTATTTTCCCAGGGCAATAAGAACTTTCTGATTTTGCTGAAAATGTAACAGGTCATTAACTACTCAGTAGATTCAAAGAAGTAGTCTCTCGGTGAGCAATTGAGAAAAATTATTTATTTATTATTATTATTATTATTATTATTATTATTATGCAGGACACAAATAGCACTTAGTTTCAGTATGCCAACAACCACTTCTTGGTGCTTACTATATACCAGGCACTGTGCTAAGCATTGGGAATACAAAAAAAAAATTTTTAAAAGAGGCAAAAATAGCCGCTGTCTTTAAGAACTTCACATTGCAATAGGGGAGACAACCTGCAAACATCTTTAAGATTTGCAAAGTGTATTGCTTGCATTATCTCACTTGACATGAAGAAAGGGTCAAAGAGGAAAAGCAACCAGAAACAACCAGGGCCAAGAAGATGCAGAACAGAGAAGAGTTTGGGGAGGGGGGTGGGTTTCCGCGAGCTAGGGACCTGATAAGAACTGAGGAAGCCACGCATCCCAGGAATGGGAAAGAAATTGCAGTGGGAGGTATGCAGCGGGATCTTATGTCCAGGACGTTTTTTGATCCAACGAGCAGGGAGATGAATCTAGGACAATGCGTCCTCAGCTGTCATTGCTGTGTGATAGCAACTCTTTATGTTTTATTTTGCCCATTCGAGCTTGGGTAGGAGAAAGGGGAGGATTGTGGCAGCTGAGGAAATGAGAGTAGGGTACTAGAAACGACCTGGACACGACTCACTCCCCCTCCAGCTGCCGCGGTACTGGGAGGAGTCCCGGCGGAGGGCAAGAGGGGAGGAGCCTTCTGAGCATCTGCAGCCGCCTCTGAGCACGATGGGAAAATCCTGCCTTGCTCGGACATGGCGCCCACCTGCCCGGCGGCAGCAGCCGGCGCCGGCGCCCCCATTTGCGGGTCCCGGCAGAACGGTCCCAGCTACAGTCGAAGGGGAGTAGGAGGAGGTGGTAGTGGAGGAGGAGGAGGTGGAGGTGGGGGGACGACGTGGGACACCCTATGCTAAGACTGGAGGGGGTCCGGTGAGCAGTGTGGGGGTGCTCAGAAGGGAAACTGAGGGCCCTGGGCCATTGGGCTACAGCAGGCATGGTGTCCCAGGTGTTGCAATTACTCCGGCAGGGAGTGTGGGCAGCGCTCACCGGAGGTTGGTACCACGATCCGGAGCAGAGCAAGTTCACCAATAGCTGTCATCTCTACCTGTGGCTGTTCCTGCTGCTGCTGCCCCTGACGCTGCACCTGGTGAGTGAGGAGGACTTTGAGAAGGAGAGTGGAAGGAGAAAGGGAAGAGGGGGGGACAGGTTCAGCAGTGGCATTTACTGAGAAATAGGTCTGGAGGAAACTAGGGAGGAGAAAACTAGAGTGTGGGAGAAAAGATTACAGGAAATGCGGAAGGGGAGACAGAGAGGGGGAGGCAGAGAAAGAGAGAAAGAGAGAGAGAGAGCAGAAAGGAGTACTGGGGCCTTGAGACTCATTAAAATTTGATGCAGGATGTAAGGATGAGTCACCAAGCTGCATGTTGCTTTTTGCCTGGGTTTGATGGTTTGTATATGATGTGGACCCTGTTTGATGGATGGGTAGTTTTTAGTTTCCTCAATATTTACTGCGGGAGTGCAGTAAGTATATGCCTAATAACCCAAATGATAAATAAAATTTCAAAAAGCAAGTGTATCTCAGTTGGTGATTTATTTATTTTTTTTGAAGAGAGATGACCAGTTCTTAATTACCTAGTTCGCAGTTTTTCTAACCATTCTTTATAGGCCAATGAAAAAAGAAACTTACAAAAAAGTATAATATTAGTTACAATTAGAAATACTCTGTTTAATTTAAGCATTTGGATGACCTACTTAGGAAAACCAAATATAGATACTGGTAGTATTCATAGCAAATAGAATCAGTTAAAATGAGTAGAAGTTATTCTTTTCCCAAAATGAAACCTTATATTGTTTCATAATTATAATTTCACATAGCTTTTTATTCACTCTGGAACCCAAATTTTGGTCAATGCCACTCTTCCACATTCTGGTGAACATGAGATTGACACGCCTCACTTTCCTCACCCAACACTATAATATCTACTGTTTGGTTGTCAGTGCATCTGCCTGTACATCATGGGAATGTAAAAAACTTAAATTTTCTTCTGCCATATAGTTTACCTAATTCTACTTTGGGTATTTGTGTAATTTTTTTTGGATATCTGTGAAAAGAAAATGGTTTTTAGCTAGTAGTTTCCTTTCCATCTTTTTTGATAATTTTTCTTGCTAAGTTTATTTTAGAAAATATAAAATCTGACATTATTTGCTGATTTTAATCTTACTTTGGCTTCTTTGGTTAATGAAAACATGATGTCTGAGGGTATTTTGCCATTATAAAACATCTGATATTCATATGTAGAAAACTGGTACCTTTTCTTGTCATGTTTTGATCTTTTTTTGGATCCATGGGCAAACTTAAAAATAAAAGATGGTGCTTTGGCTCAGTACTCTGCTCTTTAAATCTGATTCAAACCTTATCCCTGTTATTGTTGAGCAGCAGTGATAACTAGTTCTTTTCCAGTTTCACTGCCATGATCTTGAACTTGTAACAGATAAGATCACAGATTTGTGTTTGCCAGGGACTTCAGAAATCATTTGGTCCAACCCTCTCATTTTGCAGATTAAGACATCTTGGCCGTGGTAAAGTGGCTTGTCTAAGAGTGAAAGAGCACAGGAATTGAATTCTGGACTTCTGACTTCTATATTCAACATGCTTAGAATCTTGCTATCCTCCAATACATGGTGATTCATTGATAGGAGGCCCCAGTTAGAGTCAAATTTTTAAAACCTATTCCAAATGGGCTATTCAAATTTAGGTTTGGGGTCTAGTTGAAAAAGAAATATACCGAATAATAATAGCTCAACTTCATAAATCCATTTTACAATCTAATGGGTCAGATTCAACAAATGAATCATATTCTAAAGCTCTGAGTTGGAAAGACAAATGCTTTCTTAAAGACCAGAGCTGAATAGAAATTTTGACTTTCAAATACAACAATCAAGTGGAACATGAAGAGGTAAACAGGAAAGAGAAATCATAAGAGACTTATTAAGACTGAACTGTTTACATTCCTGCATGGAAAGATGATATTTATAACTCATGAGACCTTTGTCAGTATTAGGATAGTGGGAGGGGAAAAATTATATGCATGTATAGATAGATGATAGATAGATAGATAGATAGATAGATAGATAGATAGATAGATAGATAGATAGATAGAGGGCACAGGATGAGTTGAAGATGAAGGGGTGATATCTGGAGAATAAAATTAAGGGGTGAGAGAGGATTATACTAGGAGAAGGAGAAAGGGAGAGGTAGAATGGGGTATATCATCTCGCACAAAACAGACAAGAAAGGTTCTTACAGTGGAGGGGAAACGGGAAGGTGAGAGGAAATGAGGGAATCTTATCGTCATAGGATTTGGCTTAAGGAGGGAATAACATGCACACTCAATCGGGTATGGAAATCTGTCTTACCCTACAGGAAGATAGGGGAAGAAGGGGAAAAGAGAGCAGGAGGATGATAGAGAAAAGGGCAGACTGGGAAAGGGGTAATCAGAAGGAAGTACTTCTGAGGAGGGACAGGGTCAAAAGAAAGAACAGAATAAATGGGGGGGCAGGATAGGATTAAGGGAAATAGAGTTAGTTTTTCACAACATATCTACTAACTGCAAATGTATGGCCTGTATTGACTTGCTTGCCTTTTCAATGAGGGTGGGTGGGGTGGGAGGAAGGGAGAAAATTTGGAACCCAAAGTTTTAAAAATACATGTTTAAAAAAAATGTTTCGATGATGCAACTGGGAAATAAGAAATACAGGAAATGAGGTACAGAAATCTATCCTGCCCTACAGGAAAATAGAAGGGGAAGGGGATAAGAGAAGGGGAGGGGAGAGATAGAAGGGAGGGCAGACTAGAGGAAAGGGTATTCAGAATGTGTGCCCTCTTGTGGTGGGGGGAGGGGCAAGATGGGGTGAAAATTTGGAATTCAAAATCTTGTGGAAGTAAATGTTGAAAACTAAAAATAAATAAATTTATATTGAAAAAAATAAAAATAAAAGTAGTACTATGTTCTGTATGATAAAATCAATTATTGTCATTTATGAGTTGTTCATCAATATTTATAAGATATGCTTTAAAATAATAGGAATGAACATTAAACCAATTTGGATTATTGTTTGAAGAAATTAATCTTGCATCTTCATCAATATCAGTTCACTTTGGAAAAATCAAGAGATAATAATTGCTTACATTTCTATAGTGCTTTAAGGATTACAAAACACTATTCACAATGATTCTATGAAGTGGATATTGCAAATATTATTACCTATACTGCACAACTTAAGAAAATGAAATTCATCAAGTTAAGTAATTTGCCCAAGGTCACATTGCTAGTAAGGAACAAAGCTGGAATTCCAATCCAGGTCTTTTGCCACCAAGACCAGTGCTCTTCCCAGTATATCAGGGTTCACTTGCTTTTAGGAATACTTAAGGTTTTCTTCCATATGTATATGAATTGACAACTATAACAAACTATTGGTTCTTGTTTTCTGTTGTTGAGGATAACTCTCTACAATGATTAGTAACTGCAGGGTTGTACACCTGTATCTTTGGAAGGAAGTCCCATTGTAGATGAATGATGAGCTAGGCCAGAATAAAATGGGAGATGTCAGTGGGCTTGGATCACACCTGAGAAACTGTGTGGCACTTAGAATGATCCCAAGTTTCTTCTTACCACCAAAGCCTATCTTTTTATGAATTAAATTTATTTTCTGTAATCAGCAAAAAGCTGCTTTCTTTCCCTTTCATATTCCATCCCCAAATAAGAAAGAAAACCAAAAAAGAAAAAAAAATCTGTTATACACATGCATAGTCAAGCAAACCAAATTTCTACATTGTTCATATACCAAAATATGTCTCATTCTGTACTTAGAATTCATCACTTCTCTACCAGGCACTGGGTAGTACATCTCTACATGAGTCCTTTGGAAATGTGTTTGGTCATTGTGCTAATCAGAGTTTCTAAATCTTTCAGAGTGTTTACTTCTTTACAATATTGCTATTATCCTATAAACCCTTCTCTTGATTCTGTCCACTTTACTCTGCATCAGTTAATAACAGTTCTTTCCATGTTTCTCTGAAAGCATCCCTTCATCATTTGTTACAGCATAATAGTATTCTATCACATTTTAGTTTTGTTGTTGTTGTTGCTGGCATTCCAGTCATGTCCAACTCTTCATAATCTCATTTGGGCTTTTCTTGGCAAAGATACTAGAGTAGTTTTCCATTTCCTTCTCCACTTCATTTTACAGATAGGGAACTGAGGCTAACAAAGATAAGTGATTGGCCCGAGGTCATGTAGCTAGTAATTGTCTGAGTTCAGATTTGAACTCAAGAAGATGAGTCTTCCTGACTTCAGGCAGGGCGCTCTATCTCTGTGCAGCAGGGCTGGCCTTTCTATTACATACATATGCCAAAACTTGTTCAGTCTTCCATAATTCACAAGTATTCCCTCAATTTCCAGTTTGTTGTCAACAAAAAATAAGCTATATTTTATATATCTTTAATTTGTTTTGCCTAGAACTAAATTCTTCCTTAATCTATTCACCTTCTTATTTCCCCTTCTTTCCTTTTCCCTGATAGTGAAATGTATTAAGTTCAAATGTTACCCACTCCCTCTATCCCTTTCTGATTCTGTTATGTCCTGATGATATTAAAATAAGAATGAAAAACTAAAGGAAAAGGAATATTCTTGGGGGGGGAGGAGGAGAGATGGGTGTGTTGAAGCCAGCTAATAGAGCCCTTTAAGAAAAAGTTATGTATGATCTCCTCATATTACAATGTAAATAGTTTACCCTTGTTGAGTCACTTATAACTGTTCATTAAGGTTTACCTGTTTATGTTTCTATTGACTCAGTTATTTGCACCTCAAAATATCTCTGCAGCTATAGTCTTTTAACAGGATGTTTGGAGTTACTTTATTTCATTAAAGGTCCAATTTTAACCTTGTAGGATTATCCTGTTTTCCTAGGTTAAGTTATTCCTTGTTGTGAGCCTATATCCTTTGCTTTCTAGAATATTATATTCTAAGATCTCCAACTTATATGCTGGTGGCAGCTAAGTCATACGTGATCCTTACTGGACAAATAAAGTAAGCCACTTATACAGGAATCTGTTCCACGTTATGGAATAGATTGACCAAGGGCCTC